GTCGCTGACAAAATGATTCCAAAGCCTCCATGCAAATTCTGCTCCCTGATACAGCCTGATTGGCGTCCGGACTGGGTCGAAGCATCTTTCCTCATCAATCTCCGCTGCTGTCCTATCCCGAAGCGGTTCTTGCATCAATCCGTTGATGTCGTCTTCCCGCTCGTCAAGGGTTGCAGTGTTATCCCTGTATTTATCCTGTGTATGCTCTTGGACGGTGAGCCCGTTCTTGATTGCCAATATTGTGCCCTGACTGTGAATGTCACTGCTATCGGCACATCCCATTCGTTGTTTAACCAGGATGAGGTCCACGAGGGAGAAATCGGGCACCAGCAGACGCTGTCTTCCACTGAATACAGCCTGCTCCTGCGCCTCGTGATTCCTGACTGAGGCAAAGACTTGCTCATACGACTCTGCATGAGGCACTCCAACCCATTCAGGTATTTGCATCACCTGTAAGTCCCTGGACAATCTCGCAGCTCTCCTCATCAAAAAGGTTCGCCCAGTGCCCAAGGTAGGGTCCGTTGTATCCCAGACATCGAAAAGATGTACAACTTGATTCTGTTCAAGATGTTGGTTCTCAGTGGCTATGACATGGATGTTTCTGAAATCTGCGTGCGTGTTCCCTGGCGGTTGCGGTGCAACTGCTGCTAACTTCGGCGTCTTAAAGAGGTCTGAGATTTTCCAGTATGTTCGGAAATCTCTTGCCCAGTTGCCATCTGCTAAGTGAAGGTAGTCACATTTGCTAGTGACTTCCACCATCGGGTGCATCCTCCAAATAGCAAGTGTGAGCTGCCTCTCCCCAGCGTAGCAGGGAAGGTGAGAAATCCATCTTCTGAGATCATCACGCTTGACAAAGTTTTGCACAGCAAAATTTGCAACGTCGTGCACTGGTTTTCTGTGCTCAACTGCATATGCGAACCTTGCACTAGCGATAGTGACTGTCTGATGTTCTGTGAGTTGCATGAGATTTACTGTATCAACATCCAGGGTTGCAGTGTTATCCCTGTAGACACGTAGGCTAGCTGCTCTCCATCGAAGACACACGTCGTCTGTGCCTTTCAGCTGTATGGAGATTGCTTCTCCTTTCCGCCAGATTCGGTGTGACACTCGCTCATGAGCACTTCTGACCGGATGCCACATCCTCAGTGCGCATGCGCAGAAATCAGCTCTGAAGTCCTTGCTTTGATGTATTAAAACAGCAGTGGGCCCATGTGTCTCAAAGACAACAAAGTGAAAAGCGATCCCAAAAGTGTGTCGATCAGGCTGTGGTCTAGCAAGCTCAAAAGAGCAGGTACTTGGAGTCAACAAATCAGCCCAAGCCTGGCAAACGGCTCCACGGATATTGCCTAGTTGTTCCGGCATGACAGTAATGTCCCTAGCATGCTCGTTACATCCATTCGGAGGTGCGTACCAGACCTTGGCATGTAGTTGTCTTCTCTCAAAAATTACCTCATTCAGGTCCTTAGACTTCAAAATTGCTTGCAAAGACTGTTCGACATTGTGATGACTTGGTGCATGAATGTCGACAAAATCGCCCAAAACTGATTGGCCCTGTGCAACGTATCGGTCGAGGCTTCCGTTTGTCGGTAAACCTCTGGCTTCAACGGACAATAGGCCATGACCTTCTGCGTCCTGATGACGGACTGGTTCATTGTCCCTACCCTCACAAGGTCCGGAAGGGTAAGGACTATCTGATTGGAGAGGGTTTCTAGCCTCTGGTAGGGCAAACTCCTCTCTTCCAAGATCTGCCAGAGGGATGTTTTCATCTTCAGTGGATCTAGTAGCATTCTGCATCAAAATTCCATACTCATGCGGTGTGGCGTGACATGTTAGTCCCCGCATCCCTGTAACATCCGAACTGATGAGTCTTGGCCTACTTGGCTGGTCTTCAAATGTAGGATAGTCATCCCTTTGAAACCTGTTCGTGTTTCCCACGTGTTCGCTGGAAAGAACAGTATCACCAGCTATCATTGTGTGTTTATTAACGTTCTCATGAACGTCTTGCTGCATCATGGACAACTCATCTGAAAACCAGTGAGACTGACTGTGACGCATAGTGTTCACATCATTATGGTCAGCTTGTGTCTGAGTATGGTGGATGCTGACCTGCTGTGTTATTGCCTGAAGCTCGCCACATGCATGCGCACTGACAAGGTTGAGGCACAAGACTAATCCGGTCCACGACAAGTTTCTTCGAAACCTCAGGCGAACCCCTTTCCTAATCTGGCCAACTCGAACAGAAGGCCCTATGCAATCCCTTCGAAATCTGATATACGACCTGCAGCATGCAAGGATCAAGATCACTAGGCAAATGAGGACAACAGCACAGCCTAAACCGTCCCATTTGCTTCCCCCATCCCTGCTAACTGTGCTCATCAGATTTACAAAAGTAAGAGACTCAACGGAACCAGCCAAAAAGGAAACATATGCAGCCTTCCTAAGCTCGATTCTCCTTCTCGGTCTCAGGTTATAGTGGAAACTGAGCTGCTGGATTCGGTACAGCAAAGAAAAATGCAAAAACAAACAATGCAGTACAAGCACCAGGCCGCAAATTCCGAGCATCCTGACATATTGTGCCTCGATCATGACATCATCCCATGTCGGCTCGGGCCAGGTGCTATTGTGCATGCGAAAAATCTGCTCATGTTCCTTGGCCATATTCTCTTCTGAGCTGGAGATAATACTATCAAGTCTAGAGCATAGATTCGCACACGAAAAAGTCGATTCTATAGGATCAACAGTGAAGAAGTGTCCGACGGCAGCTGTCAAATGGCATGCACCTGTTCCAGCCAACTCTTCATCTGTGGTCCATGAGTGAATCACAGCAAAAGGGAAGTCGCCTGTCAGCCCTTCAAAATGGGCGCCAGAGTCACTCCACTTGCTGTGCTGTTGTGTCATCGGAAATACAACGTTTTGAGAAGGCAGCTCACAAATGTTCTGCTCTCCTCTATTGTGAAAAACATTCCACCAGAAAGCCCCCCAAGGCACAGGTAGAAAGCGAAAAGTAATGCCACTGCATCTGCCACCCGTCATCCAATTGAAATCGGCGCCAGTATAGGCATGTCTGCAGTAATTCCCCATTGCATCTGGTCCACTTGGGCCGCCAATACCAGCTAGCCCAACTTGTTCAACTCTTGTGAGTCTGCTCCTCCCGGCTCTGACCTTCTGGGACTCCTTTCCCTGTCTTCGTCCAGCCTGAAGGTCGGGATTTGTGAGGGATAGGTCGGCCCCGTCTTCTCTATCGCATTCAATCTCTGCTTTCTGAGATCTGAAGGACTTGCTGCAATGCGGGGCTCTGAAGGCATTGGTCCATGAGCCCCTTGCCCCACATAAGCATTGAACTGCGTCTGGAGCAAGGCTAGCATTCTCGCAGTGTTGGATTGTTCCCTTTGAGCCAATAGAAGCTGTTCTTTTAGCTCCCTGTTGGTGGCTGCATCCATATCCATGGCGTCTGCTCCTTTCACATCTCTTGTGGCAGCATCGATGTCGAGTTCTTCGATCTTGTCCATGGCCTTCTGGATTTCCAGATCGATGCCTTCCATGTCGTTCTTGAACTTCTCCTGTTCTGCGTCTTGATGCTTCTTGAGCTCTTCCTTGTATTGCGTCCATGCTCTGGTCTTCTCCATCTTGGCCTTCTTCAATCTGGAAATTTTGTCCACTAGCTTCTTCCTCATGTTGAGGTCCTTTTGTTGGTTCTTCAAATCTTCCTTGTCGTCGTCTTCCCCAACGATCTGCTGAACAGCTTTGACTAGACTCCCATCGGATGCATTGGATCCAGATGTTGACTTGATTGCCTCCTTTAAAGCTGTCCTCAACTCCGAGACAGAGGGCTGAGAAGACGATGAAGACCTGAGCGAGTCGTATCCAGGGAAGATCTGCTTGTCTTCTTCTTGATCTTTGTCCTTCTTCTTGTCGCCTTTCCTCTTCGGCGGCGTTCCCCATATGTTCCAAGATCGGCCTTTGCCCTTGGAACCTTTTCCGGTGGCCTTTCCACTCCATTGCCACTTCCATGACATCACCAAGCCAGCTCTTCTGTTGATGGCAGCAGTACGTTGTTCCGTCCACGAGTGATGTCGATGGAGATGGTGTACAGACCTACGGAATTTGGAGGAGGTAAAATCACCTTTAGCTATGGCAGCACGTAGGTGTAACCTTGATCTCGATCTCAGCTTGCGCAGTTTGCGGTGCCAATTGGGAGATCGTGTTATTGTTCCAGCTCAACGTGTACCAGTCCACCGTCGGGAAGTCTGCCACCTCCAAATGGCTCTAATCCGGCGGCGCTAGGCGCGTAAAAAGCTGTCGTGGCGAACCCTTTGGTTCTGGGGCTCAAAAATCGCACCCTGTGTGCTCTTCGAGCCCTGGAGATAGGGTCACATCAAATCAAATCCCGGTGCAAACCAGTCAAAGCTACAGTGGAACGGTCCAGAGAAAGCAGAGTCGTAGACGTTCACTGTCCTGCAAGTAAAGGTCCCGAGTCAACTCACATGGACCCTGAGAATGGCACCCTGAAAGACTGCTTTCCTTTACAAACCAGTGGTTTTCAGGGTCCATCTTAGTTTTCAGCAGGGTAAAGGTTCTGACAAGTCGATGAGGCTAGGCTACCCGCACCCAGTGAGAACCCATTCGCTATCCGGGCCCCTTTCCAAAGCCACACTATATCAACTGGAATCCTTCACGGAGGTAACAGCCCAAGATGTTTGTCCAACCTACATGTTATATTCCAGTAATACTGTGAATACGGTGAATCCATTTGAGCCCTTCTTTGATAAGAACAAAGAACACATGTTTGTTGGTTGGTCCAAAAAGGGGGTGTCCTTTGGGTTCTAGGCAACAAACTATATGCCTTTGCATATACCATATACCTATGATTGAACATCTTGCTTCAAACCTGACAAAAGGGGGTACCAATAGGCCAGTTATGGCCAGCTTCCCAGATCAGCGACGCAAGATGTTTGTAGACCAGCACCCCACCAGAACACACCTCGCCTGGCACGAGTCAGGCCCCGTCCCACGCCTCCTTCTGCCTGCCGCCCCTGGGGCCTCTTGGCACGTCCGACGGACAAAAGCTGGAGAGATGCTTCAAGAATAAAAGGGAAGAACCAAGAGAACCATCACAAAAGGGCACGGAGAGGTTCCATGGAGGTCCAAGCAGGAACTGAAAACGAGGAGTTCGAAACCATTCATTGAACATGTTATACCGGAAGTTCCATGGAGTTGGTGTCAAAAAAGGTAGCCCAGTGGTCATTGAATTGGGCCCGGATGGAACGAGGAAGAAAAACATCAACAAAAATGAGGTTCCCCGAGCACTGGAGGTTGACATCGCTTTTTCTTGACACCATGTCACCATGAAAGTTGCGACCATGGTCACCTTTTTTTGCCCACAAATGGAGTAAATGCATGTAACATTATGTATATAGTACTACTATGATGTCGTATGATGTAATATAAATATATATGACTACTGTATTCCGTGCATGGATGGTCTGGCACTCTACCTTGCTCATTTCTTCCAAGTGACCTTTTGATATCCTAGGATGAGGTCACAAACAGGCCCGTAAAGGTCCCTTGGAAGGTGTACATGGATGGGCTGAACATGTGGCCTATCCATCATCCACTGGTCATGGGATATACCTTCACAAGGCATCCTCTTCTTTTCTCACACCCAGACCGACCGGATGGAGTCCGCCTCGTCACTCGATCGAGGCCCGGTGCCAGCGAGATGCGAAGTAGCAGCCGCTGCACGGCCTCCTCGCGGCCGCGCTCGCAGTCCTCGACGAGGCGCTCCGCGCTCGCTCCGCGCTGGTCCGGTCGCTCGTCCGGTCGCGAACTCGCGGAACTCGCGGAAGCATCGACGGGTGTCCATGGTAACTTGTCCAGGAAGGTGACGAAGGTGACCGGACAGAGATGTTGGTGTACCTGGAGTCTCAGTTCATACCTCGGAAAATGGGTACGGTCGTACCTGTTTTTAAGGGGTCATGTCCCATTTTCTAAGGTGCTTTGGAGGGTCCAGGTACTTTTGATCGAATCCACAGACCGAAACGAAACGCAGGTACAACTGGACACCTATTGTGGCAGCGAGACGATGCGTCGAACACATCACCTTCGAAATGGGGACGGTCGGGGTCCTCCTCGATCGATGGATGTTGGACGTGTCCTGAACCCGACGGACCGTTGGTGCGAAAATGGGACGTGACCCGAACAAATGAGACATATACCAGGGCCCCTTGAGGGGATCAGATCTCATTGCGATTGCATTGCTATAGTTCAGTTGCCTTGACCTGAAGCAAAGCGTCCAACAATCAAGCTTTATCGACGTGCTATATGTTTTAACGTTCCTCCTTGGGGGTTGTTTGGACTCACTTGTTGCGCAAGCTTTGAAGAATCAATGCAACCAACGAACCACAACTTTAGGCCTGGACCATAGTACCCTGCCAAGTATACCCGAAAGTAGTTATCCAAAGGATCGACGAACGAAACAAGGACATGACTCAACATACCCTGCAAAAAAATGCAGGTATAAGACTGTACCCATTTTCATCCATTTTCTGAGGTACAAATGCACAGGTCAGAATAACCGAGCGCGCACGCGCCCACGCGCACGACCCGGCGACCCCACCGCGCGCGGCAGGACGCGGCGCGGTGCTGGAACGCCTTCCACAGCGACACCTCGGACGGAGCCACTGACTGAACGATCAGCCGAGGTGTGTTGGAAGAATCAATGGGTTGGGCCTCCATCCCACACATATCATTTTTAGCTTGTTTAGAGGCAGGGTTAGGGAGGTCAATCATTTTTTTGTGATCCCAAGGACTGCTGGAATACCTGCTTGGGCATATTCCTGGTGAGTTTCACTTATAGTTTCCATGCCGTGAAGTCTCCCGGTTTCGGCGCATGATCGTTCGATGTTGCACGAGTCGGGTCAATCCCCGTTTGGGCTTCTGGTCAATCCCTCCGTTTCGGGACAGGGCTGGGACGGTCGGGGTGGGTGGATGGCAGCGGGGGTTCAACATGGTCTAAGCACCGAACCTGAGGAGACGGGACAGGAACATGTTGGAGTTGGAGCCCTATAGGGAATGCAGGTATACCTAGATCTTCAGTCCGGCACTTTTTACAGGGTCCGGCGCCGGACTTCCAACTCCGGCGTTTTTCTGGATTTGGTCCAGCAGTTTTTCCAAGTCACTTTATGTGGATTCTCCAGGCTTTGCATTCTTTGTGGTCCGCATTTGTTTGAAGATAAATCCACAACTGATGCAATGATTTTGCTTGCAAAGTGTGCTCGTTTGCCTGTTCCGCTGTTTTCTCATTCCACCGGTTTCAGCATGGTTCACACTGGATCAATCAGATCCATTTAGGTGATCTTCTAAATGAAATCGGACGAAGTCGGTACAGTGCGAAGCATGTGTTGAAAGACCCAAGTGGGTGCATGTCAAACATAGGCGAAAATATACTCCACACGGGGCGCTGGGATATAGTTCTAGCTGCACAGGCTTGCAGAGCCTGCCGAAAAGGCTTTGGGCTGTGGAACATGTGTTGTGAATCTCAATGTTTTGCAGAGGGTTGCTAAACAAATTGCACGTCGTAACTCCGCGTAATTTCCGTAAATCCGGCGTGATTTCCCATAACTCCGGCGTATTTTTTTGGACTCAGTCTTCTGAAGGTTTTGAATGTTGAAAAAGTTTTTCAAAGAAGAGTGTTGACTGGAACCATGAGTTCTGCTACTTTATTGAGGGCCCGTCCTGAGGCAAGCCAAGCTTTAAAAACATACTAAAAATCATATAAGAACCATGGAGAGCAACCCACTTTGTAAAGGAACTTTAGAGACACGGTTGCAGAGAAAGACGGGCTCCTTGCCACCTTGGGCACAAATTTGCTTATATTTTGTGATGGCTCTGCTCTTAGGCCATTCGGAAGATGGGCAAGGGCAATGGGAACGGGAAGGCTCCAGCGTTGGGTGGAATGAGTGTGTTCCAGAAAAACTACTCTCGGCGCAAAGGCAGTTTGCTTGTGTATGATCCAACCTTTTATCATCTCTGTTTTCAGGGCCTTGGATCCGGATGATTTTTCAGGTCCCCGGCGTTTTTTCGGGAATCCGGCAGGAAATATTGCTGGATTCAGGTCCGGCACTTTTTTCCGCCCAAACGAGGATCCAGGTATATGTTGACTGGGAATTTCCGATGTGTTCGACTCAGAAGCGTGGAAGATGTGTTCGTTTGAGTTCCCGGTTCCGTCTGAGAACGAGAGGTGGTTTTGCAGATACCAAGAGAGGTTAAGTGACCTTTCACTGCCATGTAGTGAGTGTAGAGTCTAGAGTTGTAAGAGTACCGCGCAAGCTTTAGCCACCCATATGATGCTGAGCATACTCTTACCGCTCAATTCCATATTGCATTTTTGAAGATAACTTTTCAAATTTGTGATTGAACAAATCAATATGAAAATCGGATTGCAGCGACGTGGAAACCACAGATTTGCATCTTTTAGATGTAATGAAAAATTGTAACTGAGAAAATCAACACAAACAACCAGGTTGCAGCGAGATAGAAACCACAATTTGGCATTTTTGAAGTTACTTTTTGGAGATCGCGATTGGAAAAAACACAAGGGTTTGTGACATGATTTGTGGGCAATGGCATATGGTTTGTGGACGCTGCCAAAAGTGCCGCAAACCATATGTCAAATCATTCGAAACCATGGGAATGAGGTTGAAAGGCGGTGATTTTTCCCATGGAGCTTCCAAAAAGGAAGTGAAGAAAGGAGAGTGTGAGAGACAGGTCTCTGAAAACGTGAGGCGCACAAATTCAGGCTGCTGTGCCCTGGCTGTGCAATCGACGCACAGGGAAGAACAAACTTGCGCTGAGTTATGCAGCATGTTCCATGCAAGGCCATGTCTATGCAGGGGTCAAGCAGCTGCTGAAACCGATGTATCTGTATTTGGGCATCCTTTTTTGAGTCGCTGAAAATATTCTATTTTTGCTTGCTGAAGAATATATATTTGATATATCTTGCACTGGGAGGCTTTTGGATGGGTCTTAGAGTGAATCAATTTACCAATTGGGACAATAGAAAAAAACATGTTTCATTGCAAAAGTCATATGGCCAGTTGAGGAGCGGGGGTGAGGGCAGCCTTCAATTCACAGACATGGCCAACGCAGATGGCAAGAAAGGCCAGGAACCTAGAAGAGAGCAAGCAGAGCCTATATATTTGTATACATGGTTTTGGAATTCATATAACTATTTATTATACAAGATATGGATGTAATAATCAGATTACACGCAGTTGCTTCATCAAGGTGAAAAACAATCATGTCAGCCAGACTGAAATAAGTTCAATTTAGTTGGTGCCAATTAAGTACCACAACAGCTCTAAGAGCGTCATTTGCACGCAGGATGCGTGCACACTCACACACACACACCTTAATGTCAACTCCGGATTAATAACCGCCCCCCCCACATGGTAGGTCAACAAGGTCAAGAAGATACTCGTGTCGTGTTCGCATCAACCTCACGAGTCGTGCTGAGGCCAGGTCCTGGCGCATCTCAGGAAACCGCGCCTAGCGCGGAGCCGTCGTTCGCGGAGCACACAAGGGGTACCGTCCCTATGGTCGCCCGAAGGGTAGTAGCCGAGTACGACTCCGGTGAACCTCCGGCCCAGTCTCCATCAAGAACTTCGGTAACTGTGACACCACTAGTAGACCCAGCTCATCGTACACCTTTGGGCAGACCAATCGCTCGATGACGATGAGCCAACGGATCCAAGTGCAACCCCGTCCGGATCCGCCAGATCGAGGACACCACCGCCAAAACCCATGGTGGTTAAACCTCCACCTCAGTGCATCCGGGAAGACCCTTCTCAACGCAGACAAACATACGTTGAATCGGGACGGGTGGAAGAATTCTTGCCTTACCCTGGCTGAAGACGCAGAACAAGAGCCAGCGTGCGGAGATCAAGTCGCTGAACGAGGAGAAGGCAAAGCTGGTCAGCATTCTGTCAGCCAAGGACCTGGACACGCTGTACTTTGAGTCCAATGCTTCGAGGGAGCACCGGCAGAAGCGTGCAGAAGACATCGAAGCTCAGTTAGCGGCAGCGAAAAGGGGGCAACCTGCACCACAGGGGGGACTTCACGATCTGCGCGAGGCAGGCGCTCGCTTTAAGCTATGTCGCGCATGCCTTCAAACAGGTGTTGAACAATTACCTTTGAAAATGAATCGTCAGAGATAATGTGGCTTAATTTCTGTTAGAGTGAACCAACATCAGGACTAGCTCGTTGAAGGCGCGCTTTGCAATTCCCATGCAGCCTTTATGTAAAGCTGCGCTCGCATGCTGAGGCTGCACTGATTAGGGGGTACGTCCGGGACGCCATGATGGGAAGGGCAAGGCGTGTCGGACAGCAAGAGCATGAGCGATTCCAGCAAGGTGGAGGGCATCGACGGCTTGATGAGGAAAGGCTTCACGTCGATCCTCAACTTTCTGGAGGAGTGGTTGCTATTATTGTTTCTATTGATTGCAGGCACCTTTGTGAATTTGAACCGGTTTTGACAATATCCTGTACAGTAACGGAGGCGACCAAGAAAAAGCAAGCCGTAGCAGGAGTCCCGTTGCTTCATGATACGTCCACCGTTCAGTCGCCTTGAATTTTACTTATACTAGGATGGCGTTGCTGCTTGCCTCTGACTCTGACCCTGGTTTGGAATCAGGCAGAACAGATCAGGAAGCTAGAAAATTACTTTACTTCGAGTGATCCCCACCATGACATTTCAATCATTTGTCTTGATACCACAGTGAGGAGCATCTTGCCATGGTCGTGAGTATTGTAGTTCTCGATTTTGCTTGTGGGTCCTCGGGTTGTGTGTTGCGGTTGAGGTTTTGTGCTGTGTTGTGGTTGTGGTTGTGTTTGCCATTGTGTGTTTGTGATTGTGCGTTTGTGGATGTCTGTGCGGTTGTGTTTGTGGTTGTGTGTTTGTGGTTGTGTGTTTGTGAATGTGTGTTCGTGGATGTGTGTGCGGTTGTGTTTGTGGTTGTGGGTTTGTGGTTGTGTGTTTGTGGTTGTGTGTTTGTGGTTGTGTTTGTGATTGTGTTTGCAGTTGTGTGTTTGTGGCTGTGTGTTTGCGATTGCGTGTTTGTGATTGTGTGTTTGTGGATGTGTGTGCGGTTGTGTTTGTGGTTGTGTGTTTGTGGCTATGTGTTTGTGATTGTGGTTGTGGCTGTGTGCTGTGGTTGAGGTCCGGTTGGGAACACTGGGCGTGGATGGTCGTGGTTGAGGTCCGGCAGGGAACACTGGGCGTGGATGGTCGTGGTTGAGGTCCGGCAGGCAACACTGGGCCGGGATGGTCGTCCGGCAGTCCATGTCCGCAGTGCCAAAATTAGGATGGAGCCCCTGGAAATGAGTTGTTATAAAAAGACCTTGCAAATATATTTAATAGATACTATTATTTATAGTTATTATACCCATTCATCATTCTGCACTCACCGCAAGGGCATGTTACTGGGTCGTACAAACCACTCCTTTCCAGGCACTGGGCAAAACTGATCGCTCGGAACCGGATTCTCTTCGGCCAAAGGTCGATCGGTTTATCGCTCGCTCCTCTCGGACGTCCTGCCGTTCCAAGGATCTACATTTGCCACCCATCTCGCGCAGTTGCACGCCGCACTCCTCGCCCTGGACACCTGCGACGGGCGCCGGTGGTGGTTCGGGCGCCCAGTGGACCCGGTCGGGGGTGACTGGACATAGGGCACGGTAAAAACAAAGCACCACAGGTACCGAGGGGACGCATGTTCTGAGGTACTTTTACAGGTTGACTTCAGATTATAGTGGGTTTTTGAAAACAAAATGCATGCTGCTGTGAATCTGGCGAGTCTGAGGAAACCGAAGGTAGTGCAACGGAAACTTGTGCGTTGCACATCATGTTGCTTGAGGCATCCACATAGTGTTGTTTTCCCAAGGAAGGCTGGGGACATAGGTCTGCAGGAGGACTGGTCCAGTTTCTGCAGATTGCCAGCTCCAGCAATCTGAGGTCTTGGAGGGACCCATGACCAAAAAAAGACCCTTTGCTAGAGGCAGAGAGGCCTTCACCACAGCCAGGACCAGCTAAGCAAGCAAACCCAATAGAGCCTGAACGTATTGGTTCTTTTTGGCTCCATCAATCTTATAGGGACCAATCTCTTGGTGGCTCCGCTCCGCTGGTTGTTCGTCTCCGAGCCCGCTGGGCCCGAAAACCCACGTGTTTTTCCGGGTCGTTGGCGCGCCGACCCAAGCGACCGCGACGGGTCGGTAATCGCAAGGTCTGGACCGGGCGATGTCGGAAGTTTCGACCGTGAGTCCCAGTTCCTGCTACTTGAGCATGTGACTTGGCAGCCTGAGTATAGAGCAGCAGGTCTTGGTGTGGGGAGGGGGAGAGACATGGGGTGGGGGAAGGCCACGAAAGGCAGGCACGAAAATGCGGCAGGTGAGAGGTATGAAGTCCTTTTTGCCATCGTCAGACCATTAACAGAATGGTTGACCTGGTGCCATAGTCCAAAATCCTTGGCAAAACTTGCAAAACCATGGTTAATTGTTCAGCCTTAGTTAGTTGTCGCTTTTGGTCACTTCCCCTTCGTCCTCTCCTTCATAGCACTGTGACTGTATCTCGCTCTGCTAGGTCAGTGACTTTCGGACTTGTGCAGATGTTCGGGATATATAACAAAAGCACACACACAGACACACACTGCAGGTGGTATTGGTTGGAATCCTGTTGGGTAGACTCAGTTGAGCCACCACGGGCGCCCACAGCGGAACACGGGCGTTAGTTACCAATGCCTACTTCTCGTCGCATCGAAACAGCATCATGTCCCGCAAAGACCAAACGTGGTGCGCATGGTCAAGGGGACAGTCAGACGGCCCTATTGAATCCTTGTCAACCGGCCCAATGTAGGTTATGACATAGATTAATCATGGAGTGTTTGGGTGTTATAAGCTGAGGTTAACCTGTTGGAACCGTTGCCCATGTTTGTTTGGGGGATAGTCTGTCTATGTCACTTCATGTTACACGTGCAGGGGAAGAACATGTAAGAACACATCAACCCAGCAGACTCGACAACCAACGACAGCAATCCTGCCTTCTCTTCCGATTTCACACAGCACCTGACAAGATATGCACACAGCACCTGGTTAACAGTGTGGCATTGCTCAACCACTGTCACGCGGTCGGCTGCTTGCTGCAGCCAAGTTTGCCTGTTGTATATTTCTCATTGATATAGAGGGGCCTCTTCAGCTAAGTCTAAATTCCATTTGTTTTTTTCAGACCAAGAGGCCGCGTTGTTCGCCGCGTTTTTCCAAGCGCATGCAGACGTATACCGTGAGACGTCTCCATCGTATCGATCTGTTCGGCCTCGTTCGGGAGCAGGTATCAGTCGCCCGCTCATTGTGGCACTCCAGCCCGTCGAACGAGCTGTGGAACTCCACTGCATCACTGTGGCAGGCGGGTGAACTACCCCAGATCTGGTGGGTTCGGTGCGTGACTCCGGTGGGTCATTCCGGATGATCCGTCGTACGTGGAACCCACTAGAACCCACCGAGAGTGGTCCTGGATCCAGCAGGGTATGGTGTGCCCGGAACGAAGAATATCGGATTGAGAGTAGATGGCACAGACCCCAAGGTCGGTGGTTTTTATATGGACCCCCCATCTGTTCAGGACATCTTGGGGGAGCCATCAAGCCTCTGATGGCCCACTGGACGCCCTAGGGTTCACTTTCGCCAGACTTGTTCAGTCAGTTGAGGGGTTGGCACTTTTTGTATATCTTTTTGAAAGATACCACCCACCAACCAGTCGGTATTTGGGTTCCATAAAAATACCCTCCAAAAAAGAAAAAAACACCTGGACCCGCATTCAAATCGCCCTCCCACAAACAACTGCTGGAGAAAAGTACCCAGACACCCCATGTATGGCATGCCTACATTGACCCCGAACCACCCGAATGTATTACATGAAGAGTCTGGAGCATGACGAGTCGGTTTAATCTTCGGCGCCAGCTAGCGAGTTTCCCCGAGATGCTTGAGACTCAACACTTGCTTGTGCACGATGCGAGACTCCCCAAGAGGGAGCTGAATCGTTCGGTGGGTCAAACTTCTCCCAAACTGAGTGCCACAACTTCGCTGTAGGACCAGAACTTGCAGTTGACCACTGGTATTCACCAAATGTATGGCTGCAGTTTGCATCTGGACTCTTCGAAGTAGAGGTCCCAGTTCTATCATCTTCCATCTCAGAATCGTCCGGTGCCGAAGAGACCCACATGGAACCTGAAAACCAGGTTCGGTTCCATGTGGGGCCTCTTCCCGAGATATAAAAGGGCCTCTTCTTGAGATATAAAACATTGGAAATCCAAGCACATCCGCTGCCACCTGGCAGGAGTCCTCACCCATGCGGGGGAAGCCCGATCATGTGGAACGATGACTTCGCCGATCACTCCTTGCGGAGCTGGATGCATCGGAACCAGGCGGAGGGAGTCCATGCACTGCGCATGAGCACTCCGCGAGTCCGGGTGAGAGTGAGTTTGCCCAGAACCAGTCAACACCCTCTACAACATGTCCAATGTATTTTGTGTTTCTTCTGGGATAGAAGACTTGACAAGACATTCTAAAGACAATTTAGGTTGCAGGAGTCACAAAGGGGCGGGGTTTAGTCCCAGCCAGTGAGTGGATAATGGGCACTCCTAACCTCCATGGATAGCACCCCTTTTGGGACTGGTGGTTGGCAGACCTTCACATTGTGGATCTCCAATTTCATGCCCAAGAACCAATCATATGCCTTGGCTCAATTTCATGTCACCTCCTTCTTCCGCGATCCCATGCGATCCCCCGAAACTTTTAACCCGATCGAACCAGCCGATCTTTTCTAAACCCATCTGCTTTTCACTTCGGGCGAAGCGCTCACCTCGTCGGAGGCACCAGAGCTCCTCTGGGAGCTCTTCGTGCTGTACGCCTCGTCCGGGAGCCGTGGGGACCGAATGAAAGGGTGTTGGGTTGAAGCGTGATTTTGTTGAGGTTTTGTTGTTTATTAGGCAGTCCCAAAGGGGTGCTTCATTGGAGGAGGTTGCGGGTGCCCATGATCCATGCACTGGCTGGGACTAAGCACCACCCTGTCTTGTGACTCCTGGTAGAGTTCCTGGTAGTTATATTTTGATATACGTATTTTGGCTTATAGGGTGGAGGCCTAGCCGCTAGTTAGGTTGGAGGCCATCGCTCTGGTTTGTGGACGTTTTTGGGGTTATGTTTGGGTTGGATCCAGGCAAACCACGTACTTTGCTGGTCAGTTCCAAAGACCGTATACCATAGACCGAGTTCGGTTCCCGGGCCGGTTCACGACGATTTGCGCCTGGGATCCACCATCAGGAAGCTCTCTGGGAGTCGACCTGTTCCTACCTCTGAAAGTGGGTATATATAAACTCAGGTCAACGACCAGTTTAATCAATCATGTTTAACCTGTCCTTTGCGATTCACCCGCCAAATTTGCAGCTGAATCAATGCCCATTCCCAAACATCGCCTTGCGGGACTGTGGAGCTTCTTCGAGGCTCCGAGCTGCCTAGACCGATGCCTCGACCGACTCAGGCCTTTGGCCTTCACCCCGATCGACTTCGAATCGGAGACCGATCGCATCTTGGTTAATACCGCAAAAAATGGATACAAACACTTGTTTTCAGGCCATGTCGCTGTCACATTTTCTGGGTACCAAATTGTTACTGGCCGGTTTTCTAAGCAAATCCAAGGTATTGTGGGCAGTGCGCGTGATTCAGGGCGCCTGCAGACTGGACAGGTGGGGCGCGGTGGGCAGTGATGGCTGGAAGAGATTGATGCGCAGTGGTGGCACCAATATGGCCTACCACCCAAACCACCAGTCATGTCCATTTTTCTACACATGGAACGTTTGGGGTTGTGATTTTATGTGATTTTTTAAAATACAAAACATCAGTGTTGATGCATTTGGGGCAGTTGGTACGGTTTACGTTGCATGTGTTTTGTTATAGGCCCACGACATGGTTGCCCATGTTTCATGACCTGCTGCCCATGGCTGCCCACCCGATCTCAACTGAGCGCAGTTCCTCCGATTGCCTCCAGACCACCACTCGCCCTGAGATGAGGACGATGGTATTGGGTTTTCATTGTTTAATAGAGACCCCTCAAAAATGAGTTTTGGCCTGCGACGCTCAATGGGACCAAGGGTTCGAACCCTCGTATGGAGGGGTGGGGTCGAAGGGACCTACCTATCAAACTGTTTTCACGGTGTCCTTTTTTTAAGGGACCTCCATGCCATGCGTCTCCCCAATTCCAGCCTGCATGTCTCCAGCTCCGAACAAACGGCAGGTGCGGATCAGCTTGGGCGCTGCCTCCAGCAGCTCGTTGACGAAGATGCTCACGCAGAGCCACGCGCGACGCTCCGGCGGGTTGATCCTCCACCTGGCGGCACATGGAGATGAGGCACGGTGGCGGGTTACGGAAGGGGACCAGGGTGTTGAACGGAGCCAAAGAACGTAAAGAACCCCTGGTTTTGGTATAGTCTATTTTTGGTTACTTTAGACGCTGGGTTTTGGCGCTGGTTTTGCATAAATATTTTTGTTGGTTGCTTTAGATAGGGTTTTGGCACCCGACTGGTCGCACACTGGCGCCCAGACCTGCCAGGTCTGGGCCCTAGCTAGGTGGACCCTCTGATCCTTGACTTCAGTGAACAATCCATGTTTCTGACTGAATGACCAGCTGTTCAATAGAATATGAGATCCGCGACCTGTAGGTAATTAATATAGCGTGGTGTGAAAGTGATGGAGTCCCGACCCAAATTTGAAAACCCCTTTTCACATCAACGAAGAACACCAGCGGTCAGGCATGTCTTCGCTTTGCAGGTCGATCGGTGCTTCGTAAAGGGGGCCCGCGACTCCACACGACAGTGGATGTTTGCGGAGACATCCATCCATCCCTGAGGCGGGTGGCTTGGTCTTGGAGAACAGCAAAGGCAATGGCGAAGCCTATCGCTGCACCCATGCACCTCGGCGGTTGGAAGCCAGCCTATGGGGACGAAGCAGTCGGACTCCTTCGTCGGAGATCGCATCCAGGGGACTGGCCAACTCGCCGACCAGTTGGGGTGGTATAGCAAAACATTAGAAGCCATTTGCTACATGGGCTTAGCTCATTCAGAGCTGTGGGAACCATCCTGTCAATGTACTGTTCCATACTCTTCCATTCATATTATGGATGGTTTGGGGCATGCGGCAGCCTCACATTTTGCCACGCATGGTTTCTCTGGAATCCCTCTTAAATCGTTGACTCTTAAATCATGATGCCCAAAGTTCGCTCATGGCTGGCGCCCAGAATCAGATTGATCCAAGAGGCGTTCAGATGTCGTTGGACTTTCCTCCATTGAAGCCCGTTTGCGCTCCTGTCCCATATCCTCAGGTGGGCACAGACCCCCCCAGGCACCCCACCCAGGTAGGGCCTGCCTAGCCCTGTAGCAGTTGGGCCCAGGGCGTGAAGATGTGAGGTGCAAGAGGAGTTAGGCCCATACTATGTTTTGAGGTCCTCATAGCCTCATAGGTTTTCCAGAAGTCCAAGGAATCCAAAGACTATAGTGACTATAGACTATAGATACTTCGTGATGAAGGAAGTTTTCCGACATCAGACCGATTTTCGACATCGTCTTTGACTCCCAGTTGTCCTACAGCGCGCTGGGTTTTTCGCTTCAACGCTGGGAGTACGTGCTTTGGGGTCCGTCCTGACCAAGGGGCGGCACCCCTGACGAATGGGCTCCGCGCCATTCAGGGTGTCTCCGAAAATCCACAATTAATGCCGAGGTCGATGATACAAATATACAAACCATCGAGTTTAGAAATCAACAAGAACAGATCACAATGACACCATCCGTTTCAAGCGTGTTGGTTGGACTACGCTAGATAAAGCTGGCTTGTGGTCAATGTAAACTGTGAGATGGTCACATTGATCAGGCCTGGTGCAACTCGCAGCGGGAATGAGGGAAGTGCCACCCTTCGGGATAAATGAATTCGTTCGGATTCCCCTTCCACATCATGGCCACATCTGGGTGTGTATTGAAATAGGAAGACCTCCCAGATTGACCCTCTTTCCACAAGGGCAGTAGACCCAAAACCATTTGGGACACGGGGCTCCCTATTAAAATAATGGCTCCATCTACGGGACGAGACGCAACATCATCTCCATCTCCAGGAGAAGTTGAGGCAGATCCTTCAAATGGGTGACCGAGGTCTGCGGGGCGTGTCCCTGCCGCTGGGTTCGGAACGTCCAACGCGCGAAGGGCGTCGGACGGCGAAGGAGACTGGAGCGGAGGGGACGTGAGGGGACTGGATGGGAATGGGTTTCCAACCCCCTGACGAGATGAATGGAACTGGAAGACAAAGTGGGAGCAATGCCCCAACTCATTGACTGTATTTGCAGACCCGAACAAACACAAAAGGTCCCTGACCGAAGATGTCAGGTCCAAGAATGCTTATAGGGTACTAAGGAGCTACTGTACTAGTAACAAGGGGCATCGCTACTAGGAGCAAGTGCATCGCTATTAGTAGCTAATTTGCTAGTGACAAGAAGCTACGAGTAGCAAGGTGCATCGCTACGAACGGAGCCAGAAGCTACTAGTAGCTCCTGGCATTCCTACTAGTAAGAAGAAGCTGCTAAACGCAAGGTTACACGCCGATGAGTAGCCACTGGTGCTGAACATTTGGAGCCTTTACAGGGGCGGTTCATTGACACTCCCGAAGCTGCAGCCTGACGGTCGTCCTCGGCGCCACCTTCCCGGTCCAGTCCGTCGCCATGAGCGTGATGGGAAGGGTTTTGCTTAAGGTGATGGTTGATTTTCCCGGTTCAAACCCTTGTACTTTGATTCCCAGTTCCGGTAGCTCAGCAAATCCAGTTGATGAACATTGAGGTTGTTTCTCAGCTCCTGCAGCTCAAAGCAGCTGGCGCAGGCCGGTGCTTGGCCTGCGTTTGCTGCGGCCGATTTTTGAATTTTGAATCCATGTGAATCGCGTTTGGGCTCCTGTCCCACATCCTCAGAAGGTGGTTGGGTGTGGTTGGGGTGGGTGCCAGTGGGGTCTAACTTGGTCTAACTACCTTCTGAGGATGTGGTTGGAGCAGTAATTAGTATAGGGAATAGATGGTTCATGCTTGCTTCTGGGCAGTGTTTGTCAAACAGACAGCTTGCTAAGAACTAGAGGAGTCAGAATATATCCCTTTGTGGGGTTCAGAGTTTGAGAAGACACAACCAACCAAGGATTGATCCTAGTAAAATGAGTTTTGATCGTTCTTTCAATGGACTGGAAGGCAAGACATGGCAAGGGTTCCGAGTCATTTGCTTTCACCTTTGCCTAATCTAGACCTCTGACGCTTGGCATCAGAGCTTCATACATTACCCTACACCTTCAGGGTCCCTCTGAGAAGGTGTTTAGACCCTCCATTCCCATCCCAAACACCTTCTCAGAAGGTACTTGGAGGCCTAGGGTTAGGTTCCTGTACTAAGCGGTGGTCAAGAGGAAACTACTTGCGGGTCGTTTATGACTCCAGCCACTACTGCTATATGTTGTCGGGAGAAGGATGGCAACTGGTTGTTCATGGCCAAGTGCACCATGTTCTGAATTGGCAGGTATAAGAGATCCATCATGATGCTTGGAATGCGTACCTTGCAAGCACAGGTGTGCCCTTGATCTTCAAAGAAGTGTTGCGTCATGTTGGCCCCGTGGACGAGGTATGCAATGTTAGTGACCTTAGCAGATCCTTTACAGTCAGTGAGGCTCTCTTTGTTTGCTGCTGTTTATGTGCAGGGAACTCCATATTGACCGACCAAACAATCCAAGGATTTCACACATTGACAGGTTACCCGCCACAAAGTGCTCTTTGCTTAGCACATCCAACTGCAACTGCCATGCCTTTTGCTAAATAAGAGTAATTAAGCCACATGCGGTCATGGACTCTCCCGGTCACTGGCTGGATCCGAACCCATGAGGGGTCAACGGTTGGTGGCGTGCCCCAAAGGCACGCTACCGGCGCTGTCTGGCTGTGGCCTCCATTCACCACTCCGAACCCACTAGTGATGTAGGCCAGGCCGTCGTTGGATCAATGGAGCTTTGGGGGTTGGGGGTTGGGCACCAGTGATGTAGAGCACCGAGAAAACCCATTTCTTCGATGCCGGGCGTGCCAGGTTTTTCTTGAGTGTGGCTGCCAGCATGTGATTGCGACCAGCAGGCACTGCTGGGCGAGGAAGCTTTGGTGTGTAGGGGGACCACAAGGACCACAAGAACCCCCAACCCTAAGACGATATTTACTTCTAGAGAAGTGAAGGAAGTTCCCGAAATCAGATCCCCGCGGAGTTAGACCATTCTAGTTGTTCATTGCCAGGGTATGGCGTTACAGGGTTTCAACTGGCGTGTGAACAATATGGCCTACAGACCTTCAAGAATTGGACACGAGAGCGAACAATACGTACACAGAATTGAGAAAACATGATTTGTTTCCCATTTTCCCATCCATTTCCCGTATTAACAACAAGATGTTGCTCATGAACACAGCAGAGAGAATAACAACTGCGTCAACAAATCACAACTGCTTTGGAGCATGTTGGAGCCTCTTTTTGCACGACTGGTGTTGGTGTGTGTGTGTGTGCTACGTTTGGGATTGCTGAGAAACATGGTTGCTGTACTTGGCATTTTCCGAACAAACAGCTCAGTAGATGTTGTCCATTACATCTACATCCTGTTTTGCTGCGCCCAAGTGCATCTGAGAGAGTGGAACGTACCTGGTACCTGGTACCTGTCAAGGTTGATGGGGGTGAAGTTCACTTCCCCAGCCTCTGAGCAACCGTGGACCCAGTTACCATCACCATAGGCGGAAACCAGTGGTTCCAAAGACGCAGTCATGGGCGCCGATAGTTCCTTGCTACTCGTGGATTTTTTCGGGAAACCTTCTCAAACCTTCTTCAATAACGTCTTTCAACCCTCTCTCTCTCTCTTAGTTTGGAGGCCATTGCTTCTAGCGAACGGAGGCCATCACGAATGTAGACTCTTGATTCATACACCCCCCCCCATTTGAATACACGCACCTCCTCTTCATCTGACGCCAAGAGTGTCAGAAGCAACGTCCCATGTCGTCGTGTAACGCCCATCCCATGTGGTCTTTCAGCCCACTCGGTCCCAGCCGCCCCCACCGGGTCTGCGGGTTGGGACGCCACGGGCCAGTCCGGTGCTGGACGCCACTGCCCGCGCCTTCACGGAGCGCTTCTATGGGGCCCTCTTCGTGGGAAAGCGCCCTGCAGCACGGGCAGATCGGGGCGCGGGAGTTGCGGTGATGGAGGTGATGGAGGTGAGGTGGAAGGCAGAGGTGATGGACCGGAGGGTTTGAGCGACTCGCAGATCCCCTTAGACTTGACTTCCGTTCGACCAGTAAAAGAAATGGGAACGACCTTGTGTTTGTAGTGTTTGATTCGGGATTCGGCCTATTAAATTAGTGGTGGGCCAGGAAGCCTAGGGCAGATGTATTGCCAATCAGTTTCCAGCTACACCAAACAGAGGTTTTTCAGAACCCGACTGGTTCGACTATCCATAGATACTTATGCCAGGTTGTGGGGGCATGTTCCACCTCTCTTGGCACTCCCCAAAAGAGTTATTGAATTTTTGTGGAGTGAGTGAAAACCATCTGGGCCGGGTCATAAAACCATGGTTATCCTTGCAGTCATTCTTCGTGACGTGGACCATAGTCATCATTGTGGTGCCATCCACAGGTGCTCAAAAGGTTCTTTCAGGGAACAGGTGTTCGGGGTAATGGGGTGCTCGAAGGTTGTTGAACATTGCTATGATACCTAGTGAAGCTGAACTGTGAGGCGGGAAGCATTCATTGTAACCCAAGAATAGACCAGGAAGCGGAAGACCGGTCAGGCAAAACAGTCGTACAAGGAACAGGACAGGAACAGGACAGGGACAGGACAGGGTGAACGGATGACATCCAATCGCTTGATTGGTTCTCGGTATTATGAATGTCGTCAAAAGTTCAGGCTCAAACATATTCAAACGTGCTATCCCACACAAGATTTGAGCATAATTGCATAAACTTGATTATATTGTCATGTTTGATTCACGGTCACGAACTAAACCTCCCTGATATCCGGGACAGACAGCTGCTACACCCCACTTTTGAGTCTGGCGTTTTGGAGCCCTAAACCCCACTGAAAACTATAACACGGACTCGGGAAACCACTGGTTTGGAAAACCCTCTTTCAGGGTGCCATTCTCAGGGTCGATGTTAGTTTTCAGGAGTGTAGTTTCTCTAGGGAAGACATGTTTCATCTTTGATCATCAAGTTTCAGTTGGGCTTCAACTATCAACCTGTCCTGTTTGGGCCGTGTTTCTCTCTGAGCGAGAGTCCTTTTGTTGGATGCTGCCAAGCTCTCCAGTTGGAAATTGAGTGTGGTCCATACCCAGACCGTCCACGCAACGTTTACTTAACATTCATGGGTCATAAACGGGGTAGATGTGTATGTAACGTACTATTATTTATATTCCAGTTTCATGGATGGTCCGGAATATTAAATCGTCCTCAACCGCTGGGCTTCTGTGAAGCAAACCCACTAGAGGGATCCGTTGATCTGGGAGTTTCACCATGAACAACTCGAAGCCTTGGCTTCCTCCCCTAAGCCTTAAGCCTCCAAGTACCTTCCGAGAAGGTGTTTGGGATGGGTTTGGAGGGTCTATAAACACCTTCTCAGAAGGTACTTGGAGGTGTAGGGAAAGGAGGACGAATCAGACAAGAGGGATCGGACGACAGGGATCTGTTGATCTGCGAGTTTCACCATGACCACCGAATTTCGGAGGTGGGACAGGAGCCCATGGACCTGGACCGTGACGGAAACACGGTCTGGACGGAGCGACCTGTGGATTTGATGCAGCGACCCCCGTCCCGGAAGAGGAACCTGGACCATCCAACTGGAAGAGGAACCTGGAGGAAGGACCTGACTGTGAGTTTGCCTCGGAAAGCGATCTGGAAGTATACAGTATATATATATATATACATATACACATATTTGTTCAGGTCATGTCCGATTTTCTAGGGTACGTTCTTGAAGTCGGGTCCACATTTATGTTCCATGTCCTGACACTCATGTAGGTAACTCTTCCATGGATGGTCTGTGTCTCCTACTTTTCCTTTTATAGGCACCAGGTTTTCCATCCTGTGTGCATCCATTCGGCGTCCTACACGACCAGCGATGGCCTCCAACCGAGCGAGGTCCATCGTCGAGGCCTTTGAGCACACGCGGAAGGCCCTGCTCGCCAGCTCGGTCCGAGAGGCCTCTGCGGCGGCCGAAGCGGGCGTCAACGGGAAGGCGGTAAGGAACATGGGGCCCAAACAGTTGGGACCACAACATGGGGCTTAACGGAAGAGGTACCGGGTATGTACAGCGGGTCGAGTCGTTATGGCCATGTTGCCCTGTGTTTTTTTGTTGGAAGGGAGTTGTGTTCACTCTTTGCCCCCTTTGGTTCACCCTGAAATTGGTCAGTACTAAGAGGATTCTTTTATCTGTTACTTCAAAGAAAGGCCACAGAGGGATACTACATGGGTTCTTTGTGTCCTTGAAGCAAGTGGTCTAGGAAACATGAGGAGGAAAGCCAGTGGATGAATCCGCAGCCCGAAGCCCTGAGATTCGCATTCAACTCTTCACATCACTGGGTGAACGCCCGGGGCGATTTGGTTGGAGACGTGCACACCCCGAAAACAACTGATCCTCGAAGAACTGGCCATCGCAGGAAACGGCCGTCCGGAAGCGGCGAGTTGACCGCGATGGCAGCAACTAGAAGAGTTACAGAGACAGAAAACCCCCAGGGCAGGGCCCGGGCAGGGCCCAATGTAAGTATCCGAGAGGGAACTATATGTTCCATACATGGATGGTCTGGGATGGCAGGACCAAATCTGCTTTGCATGGGATGCCCTTTGCTGGTTGGTTCAGAATGGAAAGAGGTTCCAGGGGCGAGCCTCTCCAATAACCATCCACAAGAGGTCCATCGGTCGCCAGAGATTTTCTTCTTCACTCATATGTGGTAATATGGTAATTAAATGTAATTAACATATACCCTAGGCCTCCAAGTACCTTCTGAGAAGGTATTTGGGATGGGTTTGGAGGGTCTAAATACCATCTGAGGAGGTACTTGGAGGTGTAGGGATATGACAACTTGCATGTGTCGACGCTTCCTTTTTGATGGACATGTTCCTTTCCGTGAGAAGCAGGTGCGACCTGAACCAAAGCACCCGGACCGGGCACGTGCCCGCAAAACGCCCTGGCGGCCCTCGCGCCGTGCCCGACGGAGGTGGCGGATCAATCCAATGTCTATCATTTGCTCTCCGCGGAAGGCGCACGTCCGCCGCACGCGCTTTCGTCCGCCGCACTGAGGGGGCTCCTTTCGTCGTCGAGACCAAAACCGGGTCAAAGCCTGACTGAATCGATGTGTAGAAAACCCTCGGGCGTTGGGGAAGTTTGGACCGACCAACTCCAGCATATGTGGTGCTTCTCCGATGTCTTTTCTGATAGCCCGGTTGGACTCGGCCTCGCTCATCTGCATCCCGTGTCCTCCGGCCTCACTCCACGGGCGATCCAACGACCCCAAAACCTCACTGAGGAACCGGCCCAGACTTGGACAGATAGGAGTTGCAGAAGGGTGTAGATTATGGTGTACCACTTGAACAGGCATCCCAAGACATGAAAATAGAACAGGCAGTATTATATATTTGAGTTTGGCTTTCTTCCGAGATATGAAAATAACACTTTTAAACACATACAAAACATCAGTAATGTTGCTTCATTTTTGTTGGTTGCATAGTGACCAGGTGAACACACTCGACGTTATGAGGAAGCCCAAGAACACCCTGGTTGGTTCTTGTACATTTTCCAGCCTTGATTGGTTGAAAGACCAGAATCCAAAATCTTTAATCTCACTATAAGAGAATTGCAGTGACCAATCGCCCCAGTCCGCCGGTAGCCTTGCCCTGGGATGCTTTTTAGGTTTGCCAAGCTCAGTTGAGTCCGCATGATGTCGCATGTGATGAAAACAATTGGCGCAATGATTGTGTGGGTCGTTGGGCCTTGTTGGATGAAGAAAGACACTCCCAGTCTCGCCCCTACGCAAGATGGGAGGTGCAATTGGTTCGACATGCTGATTGTTTGGTACATGTAGATGCTGCCCCGGTGAAGTGGAGTCTTATGCAAGTGTAGCTAGGGGATTGCTTTGCCTTCACAAATCAACATAGCACCAACCTTGAAGGAAAAAGATCGCAGACAATCCTCGCACCAAATAGCACCAACTACTGTAGCACCAAACCGACAGTGCCTTAGAACCAATCGATCATCCCTACTGGAGGAACATCATCTTCCAGACCAGCTTGGACAGTTTCTGACTCTTCTCAGTCAGCATTTTGGATTGCTTGTTTCTATACCTGGAGTGTTTTTCAGCTGCAATCCTGTCCATTTTTCATAGACCAGTGGGAATGGACACTGTGTGCTGGACACAAACTAGTTCCGCAGCCATCAAGGACAAGAAGGGCGAGAGACAGTTCTAAAATGTTCTAAATACTATCCTCCAATATTTCAATAGGCATCCCTTTGTGACTCCTGGTATATGGCTGACTGTTTACCTTTTACACAAAAACAAGTGTGTGGAGATGTACTGATGAATTCAGGAACCAGGCATTTGAGATGGCCTCCTAATCGTTGAAGAAGCTAATTTATATCCGGTCGAATAAAACACATATCATATATGCTTAAACGTGCTTAAAAAAATTGAACATCATATACTAACTATATATATCCAACTATACTATACGGTTCGGTGGACCAGTGACATTGCGTGGTCTCCCTCACCCAGACGCTCCGTTCACAGCCCGACTGGTCCCTCAAAACAGCATTGGTGAGAAACCGACCCCGGACCCCTCCTCCAGGATTCGGGTGGCAAACCCCCTCCAAAGGCTTCGGGGCCGAACGGATCGCGTCACACCAGACTTGACGCGATCCCTCGAGACCCTGACGTCGCGCACCGCGCAGGCGTCGGCCAAGTGGTGCCCGACGTCCCCGAGCGGCCAGAGAGGCGCCGGGCGAACCCGGGGAGTGTCTAGACTGGTATGCATATGCCACCCCATTGACCCCTTTTCAAGAAGACACCGGACATATGAATTATTTGTAACAACATGTAATTACTACAAATTCAATAACTATGTGTGTTTGACCTTGTTTGATTATTGGACGTTTATGATCTAAATGATAATACTTTAATAATATATGTTTGATGAACTAAAATATAACCATTTTACTTAAATTATTGAGAGTTTTTATAAATGTGATTCATGTTTTATTAATAACTGTAAAATCCCCATGAAGCAACTCTTGGATATCCTGCACAATAATTTTCCTGTGCCAGTCCCATGGAATGAGTGTTTGGGTTTCTTCTAGGGGGCCTAGCAGATGTGTGGAAGACCGGCACGGACCGGCAGGGTGATCGAAGTCATGGGGCAGAAAGAATGTGCCTGGGAGTCCTGCAGCTCACGTCGAGCCCTGGTTTTTCAGACTGGAATGAGACGGACTCAGTTCTGAGTTGGGGAAGAGATGTTCCAAAGGTGACGTATCTCTTCCCCAGTAGGGTTGACCATTAAGCAATTGGGATTCCCAGTTTGGGTGTGTAGCTCAACTAACCGCCGGCGTTCCAATGAGTTCGGTTCGGAGGTGGAGTCTACCCAGCCTCTTGTGGTTGGGCGCGGACGGAGCAAGTCCTCGTCACTCCGCTTGGTCCATCCGTGGGACTGTGCTAGGTCTTGGTTTCGTTCAAAGAGGTTCAAAGCAAGCACAAGTTCAGCGCCTGCAGCCAGCAGTTCCACTGCCTGGATGCCTTTTTGAATCCTTTTGAATATGTTTGGATATCGAATTGCTCCTGTCACCTCCACACTGCATGGGACGACGTCGGCTGGTTCACCGGCTTTCCGCACGTCGGCTGGTTCACGCGCGCCCGAGACGGTCGGTGTGAGGCCTGGGAGCCGGGAGAGTGAGATCGGAGGTTTTCAGGACGGGAATCGGAGCGGATGTAGGTTGGAGGCCAATACTGCTAGGGTGGAGGCCATCGCGGATGTAGGTTGGAGGCCATGGCTAGTAGGCTCGGAAGATGTGCTTGGAGCAACTAACTCGGAGCAGATGGGCTCGGAGTTGGGTTGGTCAGATCGGCCGAGGTCGACCATCCTGGACCCGATGTCGGACGTACCCTATAGAAAATGGGACACGACCTGAACACAAGACAGGTAGACTTAGATCTGTACTCATGTTCTGAGGTACTTTCACTGGTCCACTCTTGATAGGACGTAGCCATAGATGTATTGGAAATTGGCCACCCCCAAGACTCGGAAGAAGAAAAGGAAGGAGATTCAACTGTATCACTCAGTGGTTTTCAGGGTCTCCTTTCTCAAGCATGTGTTGTTTCCGGGTCTCAAGATACATGGTGTTGGCTCATGTCAACCTGGTTTCCAGCTCAGCTATGGCAGCTATGGTGCCACGGTGGTGGAACGCTAGAAGTATATTTGGTACTAACGTGTTTCCAAAGGTTTCTGTTGCGCTGGAGATGTCAGGACATGTCAGGACCCGGGCAGTTTCATTCAGTTTCCTTCTTTGTCTACGTTTGGCCGGTGTATGGGTGTATGTTTTGCCCTACCAAAAGCTGGCATCCATGGCCTGTGCTCATTCTTTTGCTTTCTTTGAAGCGTTTGTGGTAGTGCCTTCGTGCCAGTCCATACCCAGACGGAGTGGCCCCAAAGACATCCCCGAACAACATCCCTTGATCCCCGACCAGACCTCCACAGCTGGTCAAAGCCATGCGCAGCGGCCAGGACGCCTGCAGCTTTCAGGAACAGCTCACCTTCCTCCCTCCAGAGGCCAGCGTTCCTTGAAATCAGCGCCCCGCGCAGCTTGGGGTGTTTGTGGCCATAGTCCCGTTATTAAGTGGTGTCTATATGTGTCTATCAATCACCCCTTGGGTCCTGGTCTCAGCGTCCTACTTGCAAGCTTTACTTAGATGTTTTGGATCCTTAGGATTCTAACTTCAGGGGCTCCCACTCAAAACATCCTCGTGCTTTCTTGCATGTTCTTGCTGCTTCATATGCCCCAAATCAAACCAAGTGCTTCATTGGTCAAACTTCTGCGCAAGCCGGTCGCGTGCGCTTTGGGACTAATCTTCGGCCGACTGGACTGGTGAGTTCTCTCCCAAAAGGATCTCCAGGAGTCAGCAGTTGGGTGTGGCTCCGACTGCTTTTCTTCGCATGGATAGCACCCAACCTCCGGACTGCTGGATAATTAGCACCCGGAGTTCCGAACTTGTCAAGAAACATGCGGAACCAGCTGTCAGGTTGACTAAGCGGAACTCTTATACAGTATACAGTATAGTTAATGTACTGCAAAACAATGCCAAACATTTGGGATGATTCAAATCAATTCAGTCAACATTCAGTTGACTTGGAAGCAACGTTCGCCCAAGCAGTGTCTCTACATTCATGCCATGTATGCCATGTGGACTCATGTCGACTGGAAGCCCAAAGGACCAGCAATTAATGTCAGATCGGGAGACCAATGATGAAACCACGCTTGACGCCACGTTGGGTCAAGACCCGCGCTGAGAAATTCCGTGATAAAATCTAGCAACCCTCACTTGGCAGGTGGGGAATTCCATTGTGTCTGTTATTTTTTAGTTTGTTTGTGGATGTCAAATTATTAACGTTATCTGTCCAACTGCCCCTGATGTTTGCCACCCACCTGTCCACCCGAGTCCACCCGTGATACCAAACGTCACACGCAGGTCGCGGGAACGCGGTGGGTTCCCCCTCCCATCGCCGGGTGAAACCCATTGACCTCGGTCGCGGCCCGTTGACCACGTGGCGACGCGGCGACCGCGTCGCGGAACGCGAGGTGGAAGACTTTTTTCGGCCTCCAGAGATGCAGCAGGCGTTCTTGCGGCTGTGCCGAGGTTTGTTGGGAAGGACCCAGACCTGTGGAGGTTGGAGGACATGTTTCAGTCTATAGGGCTCAATCAGGCTATGGCTCAAAGATCAATCAGGAGACCCTCAGATCTATAGACGATGCTTCCTTTGGCCGGTGGGTTTGGATGGTGTTGTGCTGCCATAGCCAAAGTGTGTTCACCGGCATCGTCACCACTCTTGGCTGGTGCAGGAACACCCTCCCCAGAATATAATATTAAGCAACATGTATAGCAAAAAATAAGTATAGCAACATCTTTTACAATTGGATGGGGCCATTCACTGCAAAACTATATGCAAAACTGATGATGCCTTCGTTTGCAAGCCAAGAAAAAACAACTCAGCTTCACACAAGATGATCGGTTCCACGTTCTGTGGGGTTCAGGAGGAAGGAGATGGATCGAGGCGGATAGATGGAGGCTATAACCCTTATAACGGAGTATGAACGTAACGCCGATCTTGAAACGGAGTATTGAGATCGATCGCCTACATCGAAACGCAATTGGAGCCGTACGACGCAGGATGGATCCAATCCAACGGTCGTTCCGTCGGTCGCAGGTGATGAATGTCCTTCTCAACCGTCGCGCCTGTGCGGTGCACGGCTGCGAGGCGCGTGGCACGGAACGAGACATCGAGCCCTTGTGGCGAGCGGAGAGCGGAGAGCCCTTGTGTCATTGAAACCGGCCCTAGGCCTCCAGTCGTACCTGAGAAGGTGGGACTAGGATGGGTGCCAGAAGGGTCCAGTGTCACCGTCTGAGGAGGTACTTGGATGTGTAGGGAAAAGAAAAACACCGGTGGGTGCGCATAGAATCTTGCATGTGGGTACACACTTATGTTGTGTTCACATGGAACGGACATAGAAACTACTGAAGTGTGCAGCCTGAAAACTTTCCGACGGGAACGGGAACACATGTTTATCCATCACTCTAAGGTTGGAGGCCATCGCTACCAGGGTGGAGGCCATCGCTAGTAGGTTGGAGGCCAATGTGCAGTGCCGTGTGCGCGAGTGTGTTGGTCCTGTATGGGCTGACCTCACGGCGATGGTCTGACATCACAACATCGATGGTTGTTGGACACCATACTTGGATTGCTTGACTGGCACAAGTACGTGGCCAAACATGAAGAGAATAAGGAAGCCGTTGTATCGCTTCAAACAGGCGTTTGGAAATTATGCCTATACATTGAGTCTAGGTCAGCTTCTCCAATGCAGGTTAATATATGACATGCATGGAGTGGTTCCAAAAGGAATCTTCTAAGAGGAGCCGGGCCTTCTGGGTGCAATGTCCAGATTGTTCTATATATGAATATGCATTGTTCTACCAGGACCCCAGGACCTTCCGTTTGTGTCTACAAGTCGCCTCTGAGAGGTGATTCGGGTGGTTTTTCTGGCAAGCCACCCTCTCAGTTATGGCGAGGGTGACGGCTTCGGTGATACGAATGAACATGGCCGCCTGCGCGGATTGAACGTTTACGCCACGAGAGTCCACTTCCAGTCATCCGTTGGACAACTCCAAGCTTGCTTCAGAAGGTGGCTATTGTTGCTATGTGATTTCTTGGAAGAGTCAGGAACCGTGTGGATCTTGGCAGATTCCCCTCAGAAGCTGCACCAGAGCCCCCCCCCCTTCACCCGGAGGTTCAGGTCTCCGCCGTTCACGCTCGGCGCAGGGCATCGGGAAGAGCGCGCTGCTGATCGAGACCGCCCGCTTCGCCGCCAGTCCCGGCAGGAGAGTTCCGCTCGGCTGGGTTTGCCGCCGCGGAGTGCAGGTGGATGGAGTGAAGAACAATAAGCTTAATGAGGATGTTTGGGTGCAGGACGATCCGAAGGTTCGCCGTACACCTTCACGGGGATTCCTGTGATCTTGGAGGGGTATTTCATTCAAGCAGTGCATGTTTGACGCAGTTTCGTATCTATTTATTTGGAAAGCAGGGACAAAGTATGTCCACCTTGTTCAGATTTGGGTTAATTGTTTTGCCCATACCTGGACCCTCCAAAGTACTTGTACTCTAGAAAATGGGACATGACCCGAACAAAACACAGGTTGACTCCAAGTCTGTACCTCTTTTGAGGTTCCATCAGAATGGGTACTTGAGGATAGCAGTGTATATATGGAGGGCCTCCTCCGCGTAGATGTTCAGATGGGATCCACATACCTTTTGCCGGCGTTTGCATGCTCAGTTGGATCCAACCAGGAACCTTTTGTTGCCCTATATGGATCTGAGAAGGTGTGACTGGACCCTTTGAACCCTTAATAAGAGAGTGTCCAATCAATCACCTTCGAAACGAGGGTGCCAGTGGATCCATATAGCGATTGGATGGAGAACTCCTGTTGGGACCAACACCTCGAGTTGAACACTGGACATTCAATGCCCGCAATGCCGACTCCTTGTAAAGCACTTCGCAGGTCCCGTGCCCAGACCCAGGTAAAACCCAAAACAAATAGTGGAAGACGTATATAAAAAAGACGGCCTCGCCGATTCGTTAAAGACCAGCCTATTGGACGTCAGCAGACCCCAACGGCTGGCTTTAAAAAACGAACAAAAAGCCGTCACTCGAGAGGCGCGCTCCATGCCCCGTTCCACCGGGGACCCTTCGACCCGCCAGGCAGTTCTCGGGCAACGTGGTGCATGTGAGACTCCACGATCGAAGCAACGCCGTGAAGACCATCAAGGACTCGACTCGTTTACAGCCCAACCACAGGCCAAGGTTCCACAGCCTCTAAAGTGAGACGCACAAAAACTAGGTGCCATCTACCTTCAATCATGGGGCACGCTGAGAACCCCGCTTCGGTGGCGTATAGCGACTGTTGCTGCTGCTGCTGCTGCTGCTGGTCTGCTGCTGCGTGGTGGTCTGCTGCATCTGCTGCTGGTGCGTGGTGGCCTGCTGCTGCAGCTGCTGCCGCTGACTTTCGGTTGCTTACCAACCTTTCGTCCACCCCCCCCTTTTCTCAAGTGGGCTTCAACAGCGCATATGGAATTTCCATATACCTTCAGAGAAAGTAGTTGGACCCTTCAAAGGCACTGCGAACTCCCCAAATGATCTTATCCTTTTGGGCACCTGAGTCAAATCACACCCAATCCGACTTTTCCGGTTCTCCTTTGGTTCCAACATAGACACCCACGTCCCCGATCCCATGAAACATCCGGTCTTCCAAGTTGCGGAGAGAGGAACCCCGTCGTCGGCCTTTGGGTTCCCCACAACCGCGTGGGCGCAGGAAGCCGTGGATTTCTGTTCAGCCAGGCGGCGTGGCACGGCGACAGTCGACGATGTCGTTTGGGGTGATGCGCCTTGGTGCGTTTCTTGTTTGGACAAATACGTCGTGACACAGGTTATGGGGGTGTGAAAAGAAGTGAGAGGTGACGGGTGGCTGGTATTTGTATAATCATGGTCCATGGTAGCCATTTTGCAAGACACTTATAAGGATTTTGGTCTGATTTCCACCGATCGTGGCATGCGTTCCAGTTCGGTGGTGGTTTCACGGGGGTCATTGTTGTCGCCCAGGCTTCGACCCGACCCACAAGGGTTCACTTGGTCAAAACCCTTCACATCCATGGGCTAGGAATCTTACAGTATTAGTAAAGGGCTGTTTTGTTCCGTAAGAGGTCTCAATTGGTGACCTGTAGAGTCGGGTGCTGGCAACAAAATGATCTATTCCTACAAGTCTAAAGACCGAGTAAAACCCGGCAAAGCTCACCTCCTTGAGTAGTTAAGACCAACTTCAGTCACTTGAGGTCATTGACGTGTCCCAGACCATCCATGGGACTGGAATACATGCCCACATTGACCCCTTTTCAACCACCTTAATGTAGTTATATCGGCATTTATCGGCGGGTACGTGGATTGTTTGGATGTAGCTATCTTTCACGAATTCCATGGAGTCTACGGCAGCACGGCGCCAGGCTGCCGTGCTTCCTGGCCGAGACCCCCGGCGGGCCGAATGGCCATGCGCGCTGCCGGGAGCTGAGGGGAACGGAGTTGGTGATTGAATCCATCCAAGCAGTGGATAGATTACACCGACCCGTCGTACCTCCTCCGGTTCGGTGACACTGGACCCGACTGGCTGGCCCCCGGGCCCCCGTCGTCCCACCGAACCGAAACGAAGGTACGACTGGAGGCCAAACGGGTGGGTACCTTTGTTTTTTTCTTCAAAAAATACGTCGCTTGGTAACCAGTCCCTGAGGATCGAAAGTTAGCTCTATATGCTAACATTTGGGGTTGTGTCTTCTGGGGCTCTCCGACCTCACCCTGTGAGGTCCGACCTCAAAAAACGAGATCATACCAAACCCAAAAACCACAAAACCAACGATCCCAAATTCAAATTCGTCACGGGTTGTCACGCTGGAGTCCGACAATGACCTCATTTTTAAAGGGACAAAATAGACCAATCACGGTCTGTCACGGTTCGTCACGCCCTGGTATGCTTGGTTCTTGGGATTTCATGGTCTTATCCTCCGACAATGATACTGGAATTGTATATACATTTCAGGTACCCCAATCTTTGATTCGACAACGTCTTCAAATAACACAATCAATAGAAACGTATGCATATCCTGAGATCATTTCTATTTGTGACCTATGTGTGGTCATGGATCGTCAGGGAGTGGTCCAAACCTAGACTAGACACATCTAGAAACTGTTAGAAACATCTATAGCCTTGGAAGGTGGCCACTCAATTTGCACCTACTCTAGTACTTATCCTGTATATAACTGTATATACATTGAATGATGTTACCCAGAACATGTGAAAGTCCAATTGCAGACTTGCAACAGATTGAGGTACTTGGTTTTGCATGAGACTGGGTATATATGCTGGATGATGCCAGTTTTTTAGACACTGTCGGGCTTGCGGCTTCCTTTTGCTTCTGTGGTCCAAAAGAACTGTGGACTATGCCCAGTAGTTCCACTTCCAGGTGTCGAACTTGGAGGCATCCAGCGCGCCCCTGGGATGGGACGAGCCACGCCACGGATGGAACGGCTGCTGTATGGTTCCTGGAACCGACCACCAACCACCCTTCAAAGATGGTCTAGACTCCTATCAAAGCAGAGGTCAAATGGGTTCCAGGATTGTATTGTGTGCCCTTTTTTTCATGGTAAAATCGCTGAACTCAACATACTTGGGCTCTTTTGTTATATGGTGCACTTAACAAAGAAATGAAGAAGAAACACAATCTAATTACGACGGTACGGGCATGATATATATATATATATATAGATATCGGAGGGTCCAAATAGATCCCCTGATTTGGGGCGGCCGATATATCTGCCAACAAGTGCCCGGGGGGCCCTGGAGACCTCTGGGCCGTAGGGTAGGGCAGTCATGGGCAGGACACCCATGTCCAGGATGACGCTGGTAGGTTTCCTCTTTTGGAGTTCTGAGGCATTATTTGGCAGCTGCAGCAACTAGAGAGGCGCCAAGATGCCGCCCGCGACGCGATGAAAGGGGTGAAACGACCGACCTGCAGTTCTTGACACATGCCAGACCATCCATGTTTGGAATAGATACATATATTTACTCAATTTATGACCCCAATGTAGGTAACTATATTCCATACATGGATGGCCTGGGATGGAACTTCAATGAGCCCAAACTTGAAGGTGAACTCCGCAATTCTCCACTCAGGACGGTCATACTCGTCTACCGATCGGGTCTTGGGCGCCGCAAACCATCCCTTCGGCTCCGGTCTGCCTGGGACGCAACTCATCCAGTCCGGTTGTATGGACGTTGGGGATGCCCTCCACGTCGTACCCATCTCCATCGGTTCCAACGAGTTCGAACGAGCGAAACCAACGACAGGACACCGGGAGACGGTGTGGACCACCGAAAAGGAACACCGAGGTAGGTCCCACCTACCCAGAGACCTTTCGTTCGCAACCGTTCCGGGCAACGCCCATTGACGGGTAGAGACTCGCTGGGACCCGTGAAGTGGAACGCAAAATGTTCTTGACCGGAGCAACGCCAACACCACAGGTCTTAGTCACTTATAGTCCGGTCTTGATCTTTGGCGCCGATGGTGAGGAAGAAACCCTGTTTGAGCAGTACGACTGGACAGCCCTTGGCCCTTCATCCCCCAAAAAATCCACTGGCATCCGAACCTGAGAAGGGTGAGCAGTGTTCGACCACTGAGACATGGGTCCCGGTGCCGTGCCAAAACGTCGGGTCCGTTTTCGTACCGAACCGTCCAGTCGTACCGAACCTCAGTCCAGTCGGGCCGGATGGGCTAGATCTGGTGATAGTCAACCAGTTCCTGGGGATTTGTTGGGGGCTCCGACATGGCATATGCACCAAGCGGGCTTGGGCGTTTGGTGCGGGCGGTGGAAAAAAGGGCGGAAAAACATCAGGGGTGCATGGATTCCAGTCCGATTGTTTGGGATTTGGATGGATTTGGTTCCACTTTCTCATACTTTGCCCAGAGTTCCGCAGATGACATGCGTGTTGTTGAAAGAATTGTTGGTGGGTTCTCCTCCCCCATTTTTGGAAGAAGATCAGTTGCCAATTCAATGGCCACAAGACTCTTCTGGTCTCAAGTTCAAAGTTGCGGTGTGTATTCCCCTAGGGCTCCAACCACATCCTCAGAAGGTGGTTGGGGTGGATTTGGGGGGTCTCACCACGTTCTGAGTATGGTTGGAGCCCTAAGGTTCAAAGAGGGGTAGGGGTCGACTAGACACGCCAGGAGTTCCTTGTGGGTCATTGCGGATCTATGGAAAATATGCATGCATTGGCCCCCTGAAACCACCAGGTATATTTGCCAATCCGATGAAGTCTTTGGGTCAGAGTTGCATATCTCTGATCTCTGATCCATGTTTATATATACCTAGAGAGCCCCCTACCTGTGAATTTGTAGTGTCTTTCTGGAAACATCATGTTCCAAGGCATGCTCATTGAAAACATCGTCTTTCCCACGAAAACATCGTGTTTTTGTAAAACATGAGTTTTCCACATATTTAGTCAATCTCAAAGAACCTTAATATAGATCCTTTGCCTGCCTGAGGTACGCGTATACTGTCGTGAGCCTCTACTGCAGGCATGGGGTTCAAAGGCATGGACCGCGTGTGTTTGTATAATGGCATTTGATTATAATGACACGCATCCACCCCTATGACTATAGGGGACCGTTGGAAGGTTCAGCAAAAAGTATGAACCGCGTAACAACATTATATAAAGATGCCGCAGTCATACTTCCAACCATGCAGCAATGACTTGAACAAAAACAAGTGGTGACCACATCCACCACCCTGATTCACTTTGGCTGCTCTTTTTGGCCATGAGCAATGGCAGCTATAGATCTTGAAGGCGCGGGACTCCTGAAGATCAGTGGCAGCGGGCAGTCATGTGATGTGAGACCTGTGTGAAGGTTTCACGTCCGAAGCATGCAGTCTGAACATCCAGAAACGTTGTGGCCCAAAAGTTATAGGATCTAGTTCGGGTTGTTGCCATGCCCGCGAGTGCGGAAAGCTTGGTCTCCGTTTCTTCGGGAGGGGAGAAGCCACGGCTTGCGATCGACCAGATTCACAAGGATTGGGAGCGAGCAGATGCTCTTAGAAGTTACCTTCGCGAGGACAGCACGGTGATCTTCAAAGAAGGTGTTTCCGAGAATGTCAAAACGTGCTCAGCAGAGCATATACATGCCTACCTGACCCCTTTGGTAGTGAAGATGGCTGCGACTGAGAATCACCCTCAGCCAAACGTGGACCCGCTGAGGGATGAAATCAGCAAGCTCTACATGAGTCTATCGAAACAAGTTGGAGAAGATCAAATTGTTTTGGATTCCTGGATGACTCGCAAGTACTTGGGGTTCATCAAGATGAAGTGCAGGCTTCGCAAACCATCCAAAGCTTCTAGACTGCAGTGGCTTCTTGATCATGAAACATATGTTGTATATCGTGTATATGATCAGGCCTCTTATAAGAATGAAGCTACACAAGTACAGACCTGCAAGGAGCGGAACTTCCAAAACCTATGCCTATTGCTCAATCCTGACTTGCAGGCCACGGCTCAGTTTGATGTGTTTTGATGTTTCTTGCAAAGCTAGATCGTGCATGGACCCTTCCCGGAACAGTTTGTGGAGGCATGTGTGGACGAAATCAACCATAAGGAAACGGAGAAAATGCTTGCCAAAAAGAAGGCCGGTCTCAAACACTCAATGTATACCCCATCATTGGCATTCCCTCTTTGAAGTTTGCACACTATCCTATATTCGCGGGAGCGTCCCCACATGCAGGAAAGTGTCAAGGACCCTGATGCCTATGATGATGGTTCTTCATCCTCCTCTTCGGATGATGAGCCATGTGAGTCTGATGGTGACGCATCAGTGCACGAGGAGATCCGTGGTAAAGAAATTCCCGAATCCCTGCCAGAACCTGATAAGGTGTTGGCAGGGGAACTTCCCAGCCAGAAAAACACAGGCGAGATGAAAACCAGTGAGCACAAAGGTGTCACACCTGCACCAACCCCAACCCCGATGGTGCCTCCTGAAGTTGTCGCACCTGCACCAACCCCAACCCCGATGGCGTCTCCTGGTGCACCAGCTCGTGTGAGCACCACCCCTCCTGGCGATGCCACGAGTGAAGGGCTAAGCCTGCTTGAGGGAGTTTGAGTGACTTATGCATCGTGAGGGAGGGTTCAAACTGTTTGGTTGTCCAGGTGAACGGATGCAAGATTTGGCTGCAGCCAAAAAGCGGTTGGAAGAGTTGGCACCTTATGACTTATAAACACGGAGCACAAAGGCAAGTACACCCACACATATGGAAACAAAGACCTGGAAACAACTTCTTCTTTTCTCCCCAAGCAGTTTACTGTTGGGGTTCTATCTTAGAAAGAAAAGAGCTGGCCACACTCACTGGCCGCGCCCCTGAACTCTGTGGCTGGGCTCCGTGGCTGGGCTCTGTGGCTGGGCCTTGTCCTCCTCTTGTCCTCCTCTTGGCCGCGCCCCTGAACTCTGTCAACTCTGTGGCTGGGCCTTGTCCTCCTCTTGGCCGCGCCCCTGGACTCTGTCAACTCTGTGGCTGGGCTCTGTGGCTGGGCCTTGTCCTCCTCTTGTCCTCCTCGTGGCCGCGCCCCTGAACTCTGTCAACTCTGTGGCTGGGCTCTGTGGCTGGGCCTTGTCCCCCTCTTGTCCTCCTAGTATACAGCAACTCTGTGGCTGGGCTCTGTGGCCCGGCTCTGTGTCCGGGTCTTGTCCTCCTCTTGTCCTTGTCTTGGCCGCGCCCC